GGGTCAATGACACAACACGGCAAGGAAATAAATTCTAAACCTCAACAACTTGCCGAACTTTTTAAATTTTGTTCACAAAAACGTTAAGTCGTTTGAGGTTGCAATGTTTTAGTGTTGTTAATCATTATCAATAACGGAACATGTGTCCGTATCTGTAAACTATGCTCTATTGCACGGAATAAATTTGATCTACCTTTGCCTCGTGCATCAGTTTGTCAATATATTGGTAGTATTCTGAGTTCTCGTTGAGCCCCGGAACCTGCGAAGGTTCGTAATAAGTTAAAATAATTATAACAGGCACTTATTTAGAAGCCTTTTGCGAAATCCCCAATTAGGGAACATTAACGTGAAGACGCTGATCATAAAGACTACATCACATATGCATGTCCGAGTTCCTGAATTTGGCCATTAAACAGTGAACTGTATTTGTTTGTAAATGGCAAATAAATGGCCTGCAATCCAGCACCAAACGCTTCGGCAATATGAGGTGTAGAAAATTTGAAAATTCTCGAAATACTATTACTCCCATAAGCCAAGCACGCGTGCTTTTGGACAGAATACACCGTGTTATTCTAAATGTCTTTTGTCATTTTTAAGCTACATTCCGATTGTCGTATTTAAAGATTTTTTAAACGTGCGTTATCAGTTATATTTATTTTTTGTAAAATATTCAACCCGACTTCATTATTCAATAGACATGGGATTGCAATCGAGACATTCCTTACAATGTAAGTTCAAGTGGAAACATTGACGAATGTGTGTCCATTAGCCGATTATAATTATAATTGAAATAATGCAGCTAGGTTTGCTCACAGAATGCAGCGGCACGTGTCCGTTTTTGCTCAGAACGCTTTTTTAAATATAAAGTGTTGTGGACAATAGGAAGGTACCCTAACTAGAGAGATAGTCAGTATCATTTAGTTACCTTTATTCTTCTTAAGCATGCACAAGTTGCATAAGCAAACAAAAACTGCATTTCTTTATGCATCGGGATAAGATGCACGTGTATGTGGCCAGCACATAGACGTTTACGGCCAGGTTTCATTAATTAATGAACGTATTGTACAAAGACTGTCAAGTAATAGTGAAAAACGATGCAATGCGCATTCTAAAGGCCAATAAAATAACTGATTTTTACATCGTGAATTTTTATATGCCATTCATAAATTTCGTTTCGATAACCAATTTAAATTGTATATACTTTGTTTTAGGCCTATAGTGGGAACACTGAATCCGGAAATGAAGCCGTTTACACCTGCGTACGAACTAGACCGGTATGTTTAAAGAATGCATTTTTGTCCCTTTTCTAGACAGGAATACGGTTGATATTTTGCAATCTAAATGCAGAGGAGGATTCGATTTTGAATAATGTTTATTCTGCTGCCAAATAATCTTTTAGTGTGAAGTACTGTGTACCATAAAAAAGGCCTCTTTGTCAGCATTTACAACTTTCCCTTATTTTTTACAATGTAAAAATTCATCGACCAATCTAAAGTGCTTTCAGCACCCAATGAGATACGCAAAATTACGTTCTATGCTTCAAATACGTACTGCCCGTTCCAAAAAAGAAGTATTATAATTGAGATTGACAACGCCCTAGGGAAACTAAAATATTTCTATGCAATTATAGTCCAAAAGTTTTTGACAAACTTTATATAGAAGGTTACACCTTCAGTCCCACATCTTGGTAAACAAAGCGTGATTTTGTACATTTCATAGTCAATTTCGAAGACGTCGTCGGACATAGAGGCA